ATGAACAGGCACTTCACCGAAGACGACATTCAGATGGCTAACAAGCACATGAAGAAATGCTCAAAATCCCTAGCCCTAAGAGAGATGCAAATTAAAACAGGTAAGTCTTCTCTCTCCACCAAAACCAGACACATTTTCGAGATCAGGTGAAATGGGGATTAGCATCCAGCCCAAACAAAGGAAGAGGGGAAGAGAAAAGTCAGGCGATAATGGTATTGTCCAGACACATCCCTGTTGCTGTCAACGGTTGGTTTCTCTTGAATGAAAACACCAGGCAGAATGGTGCGCCGGGCCATCCTATTAACCAGTAATTGTAAAATGATGGGATAAATTAGCAGTGACACTGCAGAACATCAGAGAAAAATGAAGATGAATTGTGGGTTTGCCATCATAGAAACTCTTTTGAGGTCCATGGGGCCTGGGGCGTACACATTCTTCTTTATGGAAGTCTGCAGAATGTCAGGCTTCGAAGTTTGAAGAGGTCAAAGTAGCTATGTGACTTAGCGTCCCTGAACCTTTATTTGCTTGTGATCCTGGTGGCCTAGTAGTATGGAGTTGTGTGCTGCCAACCCTAAGGCAAGCAGTTCAAGTCCTCCAGCTGCTCTGAGGGAGAAATATGAGCAATCTTAGTGGTAAGGAGTTGAGCTGCCAGCTTGAAGGCGTGCAGTTCGAATCTACCAGCTGATTCATGGAAGAAAGATGGGCTCTCTCCTTGCATAGGATTAAACTGCCTTTGAAAACCTGCTGGAGAGTCGGTCCTGACTCATGGGCAAATAACAATGAGGCACAGTGATGTAATCCCCGCCTTCTATGCAAGTGACCAGGTTTAATTCCCAACTGATGGAGCCTGTCACTGGAGCCTTGCATGTGACTAGGATGCTGACCAGATTCCACTGGGGTTTTTAGACTAAGAACAGGAAGAAATGCCGGTTATTTCCTTCCTTTTCAGTGAAAACTCAATGGATCCTAATGGTCTAATTTCATTGTACCTGGAGTGGCTTTGAACTGACGGCTAACTCAAAGGCAGCCAACCACAATGAAGAAAGAACAGTTAACACCAGTTAAGCAGAAACTGTATGAGTGAGTGAAGTATGTATTAAATGACTTCTTATCGTTGTGTGTCTCATCGAGGTGGATCTGACCTACAGCTGCCTCTCCAGTGATTTTCAGAGGCAGTGAGTCACACAGGAGACTGCCCATCCTTTTCCCACGAAGCAGATGGTAGATATGAACCACGTGCCTTTGGAATTGCAGCCTACTTTCTTATAATTTTGTTACCATATACTGGAGCGTTGATGTCACCAGTGACCAGAAGAGTAGGTGCCAATGTGGGCCGCCTCTTGTCCACTTGCTCTTGTCTACCTTGTTCTCACAGCTGTACTCCAGCTGGGAGGGAGGGCTTCAGAAAAGTCAGTGCTGTGAGAAAGCTTAAGGCTTAAAGATGCTTCACCTGGTGGTTCGTTCAAAGGGCTCCCCTGCGTGTACTTTATTTATTTATTTTTTTTTTACAATTAGCACATCTTTATCCGCTCTCCTTGGCTCGGCCCTCAATTTGATCACTAGGCAAGATGTGATCTCCAGGCATCCCCTTTCATCTTAACATGAGGCCCAGCAGTGAGTTTGATCTAAGCCTTCTGTGGGTCGCTTCCTGCTGAGGAGAGATGGGCACAGAGAGCAAGGAAAAGAAGAGGAGTAAGGCTGGTGTCTCAGAAGTAGAGAGGGGCTTGAGTGCCCGGGGAAGCAGCAGAGCCAGAACCCTGGATCTGCCTCTTAGCTTCCCTGTACAGAGCTTCGCTGCCTCAGTGCTGCCATCTGTAGGTCGAGGGGATCGAAGTGCCTCTCATGGTTGACCCTGAGCAGTAAAAAGGTTTGTTGATGGATAGTGTCTGTCTTGTAAACATCCCTAGATTTTACCTATATGATGATTTCATTGATTTTTTTAAAAACAAACACATACTGAACCTCTCTGTTGGGTGCTAAGAGCTTGCACTTAAGAAAAAGGACTTGATTTCATAAAAAGTTAATAATAAAAAAAAAAGTTAATAATCAATAGTCATGGTGGAAAAGAGTTTAGTGGTCCTTCAAATAAATGATATGCAGAACAACCAGATATTTTTCTTGTAGGCACATGGACCCAAGACTCTTGAATGAAGTGATTAAAACTGAGACCCTTATAGCAGTGTTCACTGCAGCGTGATTCACAGTAGCTGCAAGATGCAAACAATCAAAATGCACATTAAAAGACAGATGGACATGGTGCTGCAACCCTGAAGGTGCGCTGTTCAAATCCACCAGATGCTGTGCTGGAGAAGGAGGAACAATCTCCTCTTGTGCCAGTCAGATCCGACTTGATGGTACACCACTGAAAAAAAATTATTAAAAAAAGACAGATAAACAAGATGTAGGACATGCGTACAATGTGATATTGTTGTTTGTTGTTATGCACTGTCAAGTCGGAACCAACTCATAGCTGACCCTCCAGCAGATTTTCAGAGGCTGTCAATCACATGAGAGGAGATGGCCCCTCTCTCCCGAGGTGC